CTAGGAAGGAGGCTCTGGCAAACCACTTCCGAAAAACAATTGCCTTGAAAACTGCAAAGGATTCGTCCAAAGCAGTCACTGCAGGGTCAGCAATGACTGAGCGCAGACCAAAAAAAAAAAAAAATCCTAACTCTAAGGGAAAAGGGGAATGCCAAACAGGAAACCACTTTACAATAAAAAGAATAGACCCCATAAAATCAACTACCAATGCGTAGCTAATTAAATTTAAAAAATTAAACAATAGACATCTTAAAAGCCAGGGAAGCCAGTCCAGAAGCTACAAATCCCCAATCAGAGGAGCACCCTATTTATTGTTATTGTTACTGTTATTTCCAATGGACAAACCTAAAAGGAGACATAATTTCCAGAAAAGATTGTTTATCTATCTTTGGCTAATCATCTAGTAATAATGCCAGAGTCCCTTCATGTTTTCAGGTTGGTTGCCAAGACAACACTCCCAGGAGATGGGCAAGAACACAGATTGTTGCATCACAGTTCTTTGGAGAAGACTTTGTCAAGGTCAGCTAATGGTTTCAGCAGGAAGGGTACTATTAGCTAAATGATGCAGATTGTATATTGCAAGCTACCTGTATGCTATCCATGTGCTCTTGGCATGTCTCCAGAACTGCAGTTTTTACTTCTGCAAAATCAGAACCATGACTGAAAGGAACTGGAAGCCGATAGGGCCTATGAATTGGCTTGATAACAAAAGAGCAAAATCTCTCAGGGTGTCCAATGATAGGGAAATATTTCAGGTATGGAACATGAAATCCATTTTATGTGCATTTGCTTTTAGCCACCAAGTTAGTTGGAGGTAAAAGTCTGGTTTTTTTCAAAGTAGCAGATAGCTCAAATCTAGGGCCTGGAATAGAAACCATTCTACCAAACTGGAAAGAAAAATGCAGGTGCAATGGTGATGAGAAAGAAAGAGGCAGATGTTAAGAATGAATGCTGGAGGAGGTTACTCTGTGAAGTGAATGATCAGGTTTTGCTCTCTACCGACCCTAGTCTAATAGATGATTCAGGAATGGTACCAACTAATCCTTTCCAAATCTGTGCCCAAGGTCCCCCATCCTCTTTTGGAGACCCTTTGTTCCCTGTGTCAGTGATGTCCGGAGGTAGGTGAATTTTAAGAAGAGGTTCTCTTACCGAAAATATGTCCCTAAATTGTAACAAATTATGCTTTCTAATACTTCTGTGGCTGAAAAAGTAATAGGAGCTTGGAAACAGTCAACCTACTGCTTGAAAAGCCATAAAAAAAAACCCCACCATCCTAAAGGTTATAGAACTCTTATAAGGTGTCCTAATTTTACTCTGAGACATCTCCACATAGGACTGAGAGGGAAAAATAGTTCTGTCTAAAGCCCTGGAAAATCCATTGCCGTCCAGTGCAGACAAAGCTGAATTTGGTAGATCCATGGGCTGACATGCACACATTTATCTGAAGCTTAGCAGTGGCAACAGTGATTGCCGCTTTATTACTTGTGAGCAAGATTAAATGTGCTGTCCAAACCCATCCCTGATGTTTAGGTGGCTACCATAGAACTTTCAGATGGGACAGTCCATCTTTCTCCAGTTTTTTTTTTTTTAAATAAAACATTAGCAAGATATTTGCTACCACCTGTGTACAAAATGCAGCGTGTTCCCCCAAAGCCAATGAACTTCGGACATAATCCATCAAGACTGCTTGCAAGTTCCTTAGAGCAAGGATGGGCTGTGCAACTCTTTCAAATGAGAAACTTTGGAACACCCAGTACCACTTTTTGAATCATTAAAGCAGCTGCATCTTTTCCCAGACACAACACAGTGCTTTGAGAGGACCAAGGTTTTGGGGAGCAGTTTAAAGCATAGTAGCATTTCCAATGGCAGGAAGTTGCATTTCTATTTTTCAGTAGCTTGAGTTTTGGTGTTTTCTTGAGACTAAATATACTGTAGCCTTGATCTAGAGGAATTTCCAATAGAAGAGAATATATATAGCTCAGGGTTGAACTGTGGAGTTCTTGGTGCTGAGTTTGGTTGTTTGCTTGCTGACATTTCATTACCCAACCAGGTAACATCATCAGTGCTAACCCCACACTCACACGGATGATGTTACCTAGTTGGGTAATGAAATGTCTGCAAGCAAACAACCAAACTCAAGGAGGACCAAGAATTCTAGAGGAATGTGCCTGGCTCACTATGGAAAACAACCAACAGTGATCCAACCAGACCCCAGTGTAGATCTTATGTTTAAAATCTGTCAAATGGGGCCCAATTAGTTTCTATTTTCCTGAATATCACCCTCAATCTGCCACCACCATTGTGTTGCAGCTGGGATTCCATTAAGCCACCCATTAAAGGTAGAAAAGCATCTTCCACTGTAGGTATTTCATTGCTTTTCCAACTTTTTGCATGCTAAAATGGAGGAGGCAATCTCCTGATAAAAAAAAAATCAGTTATTCAAATCTGGTTGCTGTTTAAGAATATTTCTGGGAGTGTATTTGCTTCGTGAAGTAAGAGGAAACTTGGATTAACAAGCTTTCCACCCCACCCTTCAGCTGAAGAAGATTAGACGATCCCTTGATTCCATGAAGATAATGAATGAAAGCCTCTTGCTGCAAGAGGAAAGAAAAGTGAAAAGGTGGCTTAGGAGTCAAGCACCCATCTCCCCTACATCTTCCTATAAAGCACTGTATTATAAGGTACTGATGCATTTTGGAAAGACAGATTGCTACATCAACGAGAGAAGAAACATGTCACTCCATTTTGCACAGAGTCTTTGGTACCCTGGCCACTTGTACATGTGAGAGACACAATGTCAGATGGTTGCTTGCTGAATGGGAGCAATGCAGAATTTGACTGGGGTAACACAACTCTCTCTCCTTCATACTCAATGTATATCATTGTAAATAATTCCTCATCGTACATAAGATTTCTCCAAGGAGCTCTCCTTCCTGGAAGCTATCAAACCCTAGTTAGCACTCCCCTTGCTTCTTCTCCACCTAGCTTCTTCTTGGCTAGGTGAGGTGAACATAAACAATATGTTTACCTCACTTAGCTTGTACAAATGCTAGATAAAAAACTGTAATCCTCCAGGTAAACTGGAACCTTAACATTATGATGATAAAGGATGAGCTCACCTTTGGTATGCATCAGTGCTTTTCAATTGTCAGCATTCCCCTTTTGCAGATTTTGCTCAAAGCCGCATTAAAATGTGGCATGGTGTTAAAATGCACCAATTAAAACCAACCCTGTCCAACCTGTTCTTTGCCTACTGCCCAAACATTCCTTTCCTTTTGATGGAAATAATTGTTCCTTCCCCCACCCAAAAAATTCCCTAAATCCATCACCTTCTTCCTTTCAAATAAAGAAAGAGCTCACCACTGCTTCTTAAGTCCCTTAGATCATATTTTCCTTAAGTAGCAGATTATCATCTCTTGGGGAACATTTGTCTGTGTTTGCCATCTGTCTCTCATTTTCCCTTGTGAATGTGCTTTTTTTAAGGGAGAAAGAAGCTCTTCTTTCTTAAAGAAGAAGCAGGTTTAATCACCAGCTGCCAACGAAAAGGGAAATCGTGCCTTAGCTGGGGTGCAGGTGGAGAGAGTTTCAAGTGTCCATGATGACACCACTTCAAATGCATTGTAATAGGAATTCTGCATCTGTTGAACTTTCTACCAACATCTGCAAATTACCTGTTTGGGTCATAACCAAAAGTACTGTCTGGTCCAGGGGTCTGCTTCCTGAAAGAGCCAAACCAAAAGCCCCTAGAAGAGCGTTCTCCAACTAGGTGCCCTCTAGAAGTGTTGAACTACAACTCCCATCATGGTCATTCTCAAGAAAGCAGGCCTTTTGTTTTTATTAGCACCTTAGGAGAGCAGGAATTTCACCAGTTAGCTTACATGGTGAGTTGCTGCCAATATACCTGGGATAAGTGAAACAATCCATTTTTTAAAAGACTTAGGGCCAAATAACAAATTATATTAAGGATTCATTGTCACAGTGACCTATGTTAAGTACAACTCTTCACCCAGAAATGGTATGAACGTTGGAAGATTTTTCTTTTCTCTCTCCCCACCTTTTAATGCATATGTTCATAGGCTGTTATTTTACATTGTATTTCATGCTGCTTTGAGTATTGTTTTATTAGGTATGTTATTGCTATTTTTATTGTGAACTCCCCAAGATGCTTCAGAATAGGAAGCGGTCTATCAGTGTATCAAATAATAAAAATAGTAAGGTACGCCTACAGTACAAACCATGAGCATCTTTTGGGGTGGTGTCTAAATCTAATAGCTTTGGAGAAATACCTACCTAGACACCAGTAACAGCATAGTATTCCTTTCCACTTTTCAAGACTTCCAATTATCCTGAGTCCAGCCAAGATCAAACTACAACAGACACCCAACCCGCCTCTGGGAAAGACTCATTGGACATCCCTTGGAGCCAGTTTGGGGACCATCTGTCCAACTTTGTGAGCTTTCTACGACTACCAACCAAAAGACCAATCTATGGTAGGAAATGGTCAGGTTTCTCCCAAACCAATGCCTGAACTAGAAGGCTCACATCCAGAGATTCAAGGATACAACTCTAATAAAATACCATATGGCAGAGACTAGGATAGATACCTAGGATAGGTAACCATACATTGTTTTCTTCATAATGAAGAAAAGCAGCTCTTGAAAACTTTAGGGTACAAACCCATATACAGTGGTACCTCTGGATACGAACGCCTCTACTAACAAACTTTTCGGGTTACGACCAGCTCCGGCCGCAAAAATTTACCTTGATGTGCGAACTCTGCCTCGGAGTACGGTCATTTTTCCGTCCTGACATGTGGTCCGCAGCCATTTTTCCGCCCCTGACACGTGGTCCGCAGCCATTTTTCCGCCCCTGACACGTGGTCCGTGGCCATTTTCCCGCCGCACGGCGCGGCGCCTGGCCATTT